TGAATTTATAGCTTCATAACCACCTCCACAGCTGGTCCTCAGCCTCTGTCTGAACTTGTTTGCACTAAGAGCTGCACTCTGCGTCCTGCTCGCACCCAACAGATCTGTCCTTCATTTGCTCTTGGCAATCACTCACTCTGAGGTTGTAAAGCTGTCAAAGACACTAACCAACAAAAGGAATAAACTGTAATTTATTCCATTTATATATTTAATATTTATTTGCCCTGTTTAAAATCAAGCAACTTTAGGTGGTCATACTCCCAGAGAATAACCCCTTTGCTCAGTGTGACAAGCTGCACACTCAGAATACACACAGGTAAGAGAGAATAGTGTTCAAATACAACCTGTGATTCCCTCAGCATCTCCCCTATATTCATTGCTCTTCAGCTGCTTCATAACATGAAATTATTTGGTGTCCTTTCCCATTGCAGGTCTCTGGTGCAGTAATGTACTGTGGTGACCTTTTAGTAGTTTTGCTGCTTTCAGAAACAGTAAGAGGTACCTTAAGCCCTTTAACTCTTGGATTAGGACACAAATATAAGTATTTTAGCAGTGCCTGTGATTTGCCTGTGAGTTATTTTGCAGAATGAAAAATGTACTTATTACACTGAAAACTAATCAGGTGGGATTTTTTTTTTCCCTCTGAGCTAGTGTGGGATGTAGAGGTGGAGCCAGTCTGCAGTTATAACATGGTTGGTTACTTGTGCATTCAAAAGTAGGAAAATATCATGCTGGTTGGCAGAAGGAACAATTTTTAGGGTCACTGTGAGCTGTGGTGCTCAGCCCTCTCCAGAGTCAATGCCCACAGCAGAGCTCTGCAGCCCCTGTCCCCCTCCACGCAGGACCTCTGCCTTCAGACAGGATCAGAAGTGCAAAACTGAAGAGAGCTCCTTTCACACACCCTGTGTGGCAGAGGCTCAGTTGTTTTCCTCACTTTTCATTCCCATTTATGTAGATCAGTGACCTGAGAACAAAGAGCAAGGCTGCATAATTGTTACTAATGCAGAAGGATGTGTAAAATCGTGAGGAATTTGTTGTGTGTTGTTTCATGCCCTCATAGCCTCCCAAAAATTCTGCCATCCCAGTCATTTGCAAAAGGCCTGCAAGCTGCCCTGCCTCTAATCCCTTTGTTTTTCCTCTAGCTTTTGCAAATTTATGTTAGAATCATTGTCCGTGAGCTGCAGAACACACACACACAATTTCAATTTGCCTTTCAGAGAAAATGATGTTGACTTGCAAAAGGAACAGACAGACCCAGCATTCCTATTTCCCTGTAGAGTATGACTTCTTGTGAGAGAACACCATCAGTACCTTGCTCCTCAGACATTGTGGCTGGTTTCCTTCTGCTGTTTTATTAAGCCCATACTCTCTGGGTCCCAGCAGCTCCCCAGATAAAGCCTGTCTAACCAAGCCCTTGGAGGCAGCTCCAGGCTCCAAGCTGGCACACGTTCTGTGTCACTTGCAAACATGCAGGATGGTTAAATAGAGGTGGTTAAAGAAGCCTTTTAAAAATGGATGTGGTCATCCTTCAGTTTCTATGAGCAGACACGCCACCACCATCCATCTCTCAGCACCATTGATCCTCCCTGAGGTGTCATCTCCCCCATGCAGCTATTCCAAATCAGAGCTGGCAGGCTTTCTGTCTTTTCTCTTAAAACTATAGAACAATTACTGTCCCTCACACTCAGTGTCTCAGACCTGCTGGAGGCCCCAGTCAAACAGCTCTGTGCCCAGTGCAGCCAGGCAAGAGGGCAGGTGCCTTGGCTGGTCCAGCTCAGCTCTGGTAGCACGTTTGCCTTCACACAGAAACAAAACCACCCAGATTAACCCCTGGCCTGGATTCAGGAAGACACCCCTCGCCAGGCGATCATTCAGTCACCTGCTTCCAGTTGTTGAAATGTTCTTCTGAATCAGGGCCAGCATTGGGGGAAGGAAAAAAAAATGTTTTAAAAAAAGCCATTTTATTCCCTAGTTTGGGTGCAAGAGAATTTCAAGCAAATGTTGTCAAATCACAGAGTGCCAGCCTGGTAAGGAGCAGGCTGTAATGCTCAGAACAGCTCAGAATATGGGCTGCTTTAAAAGCAAATTTCCAAATATCACAAAGCTATTTGGCAAAGCCCTTTACATGGTCCACTGGCATCCTCCAGTGGCTGGGGGATGCTCAGCCTATATATACATATGTAGATATGTGTGTCTGTATATATGCCTATATATGTGTGCACATCCATATGTGTCCAATTTGGGAAGGTGCATTAAGAAAATATTTTAGTTCTTTAAAAGAAACCAGCGATTCTACCAAGAACCAGTGCTCTTCCAGATCAAGCCCCTTCCATTCTTCATTCTTTGTAAAGGATTTCATTTGCTTTCAGCTTAATTTAGGTTTTGGGGTTTTTATAAACCCCTTTTTTCCCCTGCAAAGCAGGTCTAAAATCCTGCATCAAATCATTGACCTGCCAAAGGTTTTTTCTCATTCTGAAAAACTGAATCAGAGTTGTCCCCTTCTTTTAGAAACACAACCCAGTTTTTAATCTCGTTTTATTTTTGTATTAGAGACTATGGAATACTGTTAGGCATTGCTTTATGTTGCAAGGTGTCCTTTTAACTACTGTGGTTAAATCAAAATCTCCTTGAGTTGAGATTTCAGCACAGTTGGGGTTTTTGGGTCATTACTGGCCTTTGCTGTGAACACCAAGAATCCTTTTCCTTTTTCTTTGCCTTTTTTTAAGCTGTTCTTTACTATTCTTTTCAACCATTTGGAGTCTTTATTTAATATTTATTCTACAGTTTATATTGAAAAAAATGTAAAGTTTATATTTAAAACAACACTGTTTGTTAGTGAACGCTTCTCTTTGCCTCTCCAGCCTAGTCTGTTAGTCTCAGTGTACATCTCTGGCATGGGAATATTTTGATATTAGGAGTTTTGTAGCATTTCCCCCCTCGAGCAGCAGATGACACAGATCTAAGGTCACCACTTGGTACAGACCAGCAGCTCGCTCAAGCTTAGCCTCCTACATTTGTTGGCCTGTATTGCAGTCCCTTCTGTATGCCATTCAAGTTCCTTTAATACATAGACTGCTTTGTACAGTTACTATACATCAAAAAGCCCTTTCTACAGTAGGTGGTTTTTGGTCTTTTTATACTTTTCTCAATGCTGTTGATGTCTGTTCCTGTTAAACGTGTAGATCTGTAAGGAGAGCTCCAAATATTACGTGTTTCAGTTTGATGTCCCTACTGTAGATGGATGTAGACTATCATAGTAAGTAGAATTGCATAGTGACTTCTGAATGCTTTTTCCATAAGGACTTAAGTGGAATGTGAGCATTTTGCTACCTTGGGTTAACTGTAAATGCTTAACTGTAGTCTGCAATAGTTGCATTTTTGTCTGTCTCAATAAATTTTAATTTGTCTGCGACTCCTTGTTGCCTGTCCTGGATTTTATTAAACTTTGAGGATCAAAAAGTGCTGCAGTACCTTCAGTCAGCATTTAATCATGCGTGGAAGTGGATGGTCTTTTATATTTGGGTTATACCTTCTGTTCAGTGACAGCTGTAAGCTGCAATGTTAATGTGAGGTCTCTAAAAAGCTGTATTTTAAAAGCAGAAATGAAACCAAGAAGAAAGTAATAACTGTACCAGAATCAGAACTTTTCAATTTACATTAAAACTGATTTTTAAGGAACTAGCAGGGGCTGGGGAGGAGGGAGGAGATTTCCATTTTGTTTCCTTCCCAGTTTGCAAATCATGATGTTTTTCTGTCTCTTCTGAAGGTATCCAGGGCAATTCTATAAACAGTCACATTCTGCAGAGACCATTATCCACAGTATAAATGAAGATAAAATTATATTGAATACAATTGGTGGGAAGCCATCCTCACTTAGAAATACCCCACTTTGTTGCTATTATTAAATTAGCACTCCTCTTTCTTTAATATTATTAACTAATTGAAGTACCCGACATTATTACAGTGCTAATTGCAGAGTTTAAAATGTTATTTCACCTCCTTTCCTCTGTATGTGCAATATTAAAGTACCACATGAAAGCATGGAACCTATTTTTGAAGCATTTGTGCAATTATCATCTCATCAGGTTATACATTTATAACGTGTCTGCCTGTACAGCATTGGCTGAGTTATGTCATCCAAGGTCAGAACCTGCCTTAAATTTCTGTCAGAATTACTGTATTCATTGGTTTATTTTTACTGTGGGTACCACACATTACTGCCAATGTGTTGCCTTACCTGACTCTGAGAACAAATGGGTTTTCCCTTTCCAAAACCACCCTGAGACTCTTTGACGTGGGTGATCTTTCATGTTGAAGCGATCCAGCTGTGCCAGATGTCAGCCACTGTGGCAATGGGGGCTGGAAGACAAACCAAAGTCAAACCTTAAGAGAGTGTGAGTTGCAAATGTCATTGGGAAGGGGTAATGGTTGGAGGGTTTTTTTTGTTGTTGTAGTTTTTTAATTTCCCTCCTAGACTCAGAACTGCGGGT